AGTCCTTTCTCAATCCTGTCCATGGAGGATCCTTGCTGAGAATACACGTGACATTTGCTGGGACCTCTGCTGGGGGCAGTTTCCCATAGCGAGCTGGAATCCTGCTGCATGTGGCTTGCCCAAGAGTGCTCCTCTGCCCTTTCCAATGGGACACAGAGCCAGTCCCGCCTGGGCCCAAGTATATTCATTCACACAATGGAGATAAGCTCTCCTGCATCCCCAGGTTGTTGCCCCAAAGAGCAAATTTCATTTTTAACGCTTGGTTTTCAATGGTATTAAACATGCTTTTGCAAACTCCAGTTAGCTTTTCCAAAGTAATCCTTCTTTTCTATCCTTCAAGGCCTGCTGAAGTTCTGCCTCCTCCAAGAAGCCTTCCTGGACCTCCCTTACCCACCCCCCTGCCTGTTTCTCTCACTGGCATACTTTCAGGAGCTGTCAGCTTTCCTGTCTTGACTATAGGATCACCAGAGGTTGAGCACACAGTGGGTGCTCACTGCAAGACTCTCAAGTCAAGAGGAGCAGTCTGGTTCTTTTTTTTATTATTTTTTTATTTTTTTATGTCTCTCTTTTTTTTTTTAAAGATTTATTTATTTATTTATACAAGATTGATTGATTGGGGCCTCCCCGGTGGTGCAGCGGTTGAGCACTGGGTTGCGAAGCTGCCCGCGGCCTCTGCGGCGCCGGTTCGATCCCCGCTGCTCCCCGGCCACCAGAGGAGGGTCCCACATGGCGTGCAGACCTCTCCTGCCGCCCGCTGCTCCCCTCAGCAGTGTACTTCGGTCCTTCTGCCTGCTCTGCTCCCATCTCTGGCTCTGGTGAATTCTCTCACCCTCCCGCGCTTCTGACTGTACCCAGTGCATGTATAAACAAACCATCAAATAAATAAATAAATAAAACATGCCTCTATAAAAAAAAAAAAAAAGATTGATTGATTGATTGATTTATACAAACACTGGGTACAGTCAGAAGTGCGGGAGGGTGAGAGAATTCACCAGAGCCAGAGCGGGGAGCAGAGCAGGCAGAAGGACCGAAGTACACTGTTGAGGGGAGCAGCGGGCGGCAGGAGAGGTCTGCGCGCCATGAGGGACCCTCCTCCGGTAGCCGGGGAGCAGCCGGGGATCGAACCGGCGCTGCAGAGGCAGCGGGTAGCTTCGCAACCCAGCGCTCAACCACTGCACCACCAGGGAGGCCCAGCAGTCTGGTTCTTACCTAGAGATTTTCAGGAGGACTTTCAGTGTTGGGCAAACAGAAGTTCAAATCCTAACTGAACCACCTGCTTGCTGTGTGACTTTGGTGGCTTAACCTCTGTGTGACTTTGGTGGCCTTTCTCATCTGCAAAACGGAGGCACTGATTGGATTGTCCGGCCTGGTTTACGGGTGTGCGAAGCTCTTGGCAGAATCCATGGCCCTCAGTTGATATGCAATGGGCACAACAGGGCCAGCAGGCCAGCCCAGGGATTCAACCTGCAGCAGCTGGTGGCTTAGGGTAAATTACTAAACCTCTCCGTGTCTATTTCCTTGTATATAAAATTAAGATAATAAGAGCCTCAATCTTCAGGGATGCTGATGGATACATTTAAAGCACTTTGAAGAGTTCCTGACCCATAGTAGATGCTTAGTAAGTTTTAGCGTTTTTTTGTTTTGTTTTGTTTTTTAATACCACAGTAGAAAGCACGTAAGTCGAAGTGACAGAGAACACAGGGCAGAAAGCCGCCACCGACTTTTTCTGGGTGTGACCAGGGTCAGATCCAAGGCCCTATCTGTGACTCCATTTTACAGTGTCTGAAATGGAGAGGTTAGGGCTCTGCGAACCCCTGTGGCCCTCCCAGATCTGATACCGCGGTATGGGGGGCACTGCTCACCAGGTCTCCGCAGCTGCCAGAGAGGAGGAGATCTTTCACTGTGAGGTTGCAGCCTGGGGGCGAGTTTGGTAGCTGGGTTTGCTCCTCTGGGTACAGGCCCGGTCTCCACATTTCTGATCAGGGCAGATGGGGATGAAGACAGGGAGAGTGGTGGGTGGGACTCCCTGAGATCCCAGCTTCTGCCTACCCCCTTCAGCAAGGCTCCCAGGATTGACACCAATATGCTTAGGACTTGGGGCATAGCTTGGAACCCCTAGGCCGGGATTGAAAGGGTATCCCTGGCTAACGACTCTGCTCTAAGGTGGGAACCCAAATTTATTAGGGCATTGTCAAGCGATCCACTGCCAAATATTATTGCCCAGCATTGTAGGTTAGATGTTTGCAGCCAAAGGGCCTATTTCCCCTGGAGAAGAAGCAGGCCCCAGGTCTAATTCACCTCTGGTTCCCCCTCACCTGGTGCCTGCTTCACTGCAGGCAAGGCCCTTGTGAGAACAGGCTTTAGTTCTAATCCCAAAGGAGTAGAGCTGTGTGACCTTGAGTAAGTGCCCAGGTATCTCTAAGCTGCTTTATCAACTCTCCAAAGGGACTCATAAGAGCTCACGCCTCATTGCAAGTCTCAAGGGGCAAAGGACACCCTGCTGGGGGTGTTCTTGAGTGAGGCCAGTTTCCAGAACAGGAGGGGCGCCCTGGGGCCCAAGGAGGCTACTTCTTTGTATCACTCAGGCTGGTGAGGTACAAAGATAAGGGAAGCGTGATGCCTGGTGCCTGAGTCAGCCTGCCAGGGGCGCATCCCAGCTCTGACTTCATGAAATCCTATTAAACCTGATGGGGACTCAGTTTCAGCATCTGGAAAGTGGGCCCATGACGGCACCGCTCTCAAAGGGAAGGTGTATGGGCACCCACCAGGGGCAAGGCAAAGGCAGGGCGCAGAGGCTCAGAACTCACCTAGATCTATGGCCACGGAGGCCTCGAGCGCTTGGCCCCTGGCCCAGGGGTCCTGGCAGGGCAGGAGGTCCCAGGACTGTAGGAGGGGCAAGGCTCTGAGGCATGGTGATCAACTGGGGTGGCAGCCAGTCCACTGCGTGGAGGGGTGTCCTGGGGGTCAGAGGGCAGGTCCTCAGAGATGCCACTGTCACTGGCTGCGGGAGACCAGCGGGGAGAGCTGGGCAGCGAGTCTGCAGAGCCCAGAATGGAGTCGAGGAAATCATCAGCGTCTGGGCCTGGCAGGGCCTGCGGGGTGGAGGGGGAGGGTGTGCTAGGGTCTATGTCTCACTCAGGATTGCTGTGTGGCCATGAGTAAGCCGCTGCTCCACTCTGGGCCTTACCGGCCTTTCTGTAAGGAGTTGCTAGGGTGTGGACACAGCCCCGTGGCGTGGGAGCACCGTCCAACAGTGTCCCAGCAGAGCCCTGAGTTTGCGTGTGGACTTGACTCCAAAGGGCTGCTTGGCCCCAGGCAAGTCACCAACCCTCCCCCGGCTTCCTCCACCTGGCAGAAGCTGTCCACCCCTTGGAGTCCTTGAAAGGTTCAACACAAAATTGTGTTTTGCTAAAATCAAGCACCGAGAGTGAATGTTCTTGGGGCTGGGCCTGAGCAGCTGCCAAGGGGGGGGGGCAGGCAGGTCCTCACCTGGTCCTCAGCACAGCCCCAGTCCTCGCCCAGCTCCACGTGCCTCAGGATGCCATCCTGCCGGTCGAACAGAAGGTCCAGCAGCTCCAGGCTGTCCATGGGGCCCTCGGGACAGAGGGAGGAAGCCATCTGGGAGGGGAGGGAGCAGACATGAGAATCACAGGCCGCTCTTCCTCCCACCCATCTGTCCTGGGGTCTCCCTTCAAGCTCAAGCCCTGCTCAGCCCCAGGGCAGGTTCAGGCTGCCCCTCCCGAGCCTCCGTCTCCAAAACCGTGATTCAGGGCTGGCACAGGCTCTTGCGGCAGGAGAAATAATTTCTTTCAAAGTGCCAGACAGATGCACATGTAGGGGCGACCAGCCAGGTGGATTCCTGAGAGGCCAACCAGCCCTCCCATGTATTCAAGAGAGGCCCCTGCCCACGGCCCAGCCCCGGGGGGACAGCAGGTGGGGAGGCTGGTGGGGAACCGAGAAGAAAGACGGGAACAGCAGGAGTGGAAGTCCAGCGTCACCACACAGTCTCTCTGGGCCTCAGTCTTCCCGTCTGCACAATGGGAGTGGGGGTTGCTTCCAACTCGGGGAGTTGGGGCCAGATTCCTGGCCAGCGCCCCCCCATGGACCCCCCCCACGGACCCGAGCAGACTCACCTTTCCAGCTGCCAAATCCCCATTCATGAGCCCACGCAGCTCTGCCTTCAGCTACTTTCTGTGTCTGCTCTAAACCGCGGGCTCACCCCACCACCAGGCTCCAGGAACGTCTCTGTGGTTCTGTCAGCACCCCCAAAAGATGCTGAAATAGTCCCAGGGAGCTCCCAGGCCCGCCCCAGGTGCTGACTGGAGGGCTGGGGAGACAGACAGGTGTGAGGGCCAGTGACGGCCAGGCAGGCTGGGGGAGGGGCGGGAAGACCGTTATCTGATGTTTTGTGCTTTTCTAGCCACAGGGGCAAAGGGCAAAGTCTGGGGTGCCTCAGCTCTGCCATGACCTCTGCCCTACTTTTGGGGACTGTTTCTCTGCTGAGTCCCCGGACGGATGTCGGGTTCCAACAGAGTCCAGGTCCCCAGCCTGGGTCTTGTTCGTTCCTAAGACAGGCCAAAACCAAGAGGCCCAGCCCCCTGAAGTGGCTCCCTCCACCCCGAGATCCTGCCATCCTCCCGTTCCCCATGATGGAATCCTCAAAATCAGTTTGTTCTAGAATCTTTTATCGTTCATTTATTCAAAAAATGTTTATTGAGCCCAGCTTGTTCCTATCTCGGGGCCTTTGCACTTGCTGTGACTCTGCCGGGAATCCCCTCCCTGCCGGCCCCCCCCCCATTGTCTTCACTTTTGATATTTGTGTATCTACTTGTTTATTGTTTTCCTTCATTCCTCTGGTCCTTACCCTAAATGTGAGCACCATGGGGCTAGGATA